AAATTTCACGAACATAGGGTTCTTCTTTAGAGCCTCCATTATAACGTGTTAAAGTTTCAGATAATTCGGTGCACCAGTTTGAAGAAGTTTCATAAATATTTTCACGTTTTGGTATTTATAGAATGACCCTTTCATATCACCTTAATAGGTGGTCATAAGAATCCGTGGATTGCAAAGGACACCAAATTAAATTTTCTAGTAATCGATTGGATTTTTCTGACTGCTGTGTTTTATGGTCGCGAATTATGCGAGATCTGCGAGGAAGAGTATGAACGCCTTAACCCTGAATAACTAACCATTAGTTAGTTTTATCACGGTATAATCCCTATATATCCGCACATAAACGGTCGAAGAGGACAATATCAAGCTTTCCGGTGATTGCAATCACGAGTGCCTTCCTGGCGTAGGATATTCGCATCTTCAATTTGAGGTTTCGCCCTCCCTCGACGACTCGGCCCTCTTTGTGAGTCGCGGCCTAACGAGCCCGGCAATTCGTATATAATTTCCGAGGCCTGGAAACGCGGAAGGGAATAAACTTTCGGAAGGTTGAACGCCGTGCAAAGAGAGGACAACTCCTTTTCATTCGGCCTGGCAAACAGCGAGGAACAATGGGAGGTTTCGGTCGCGAGGCACGAGTGCGAACGAGAGCGAGCGAGGTGAGGGGAAAAGAGAGACAGAAGCCGAGATGGTACACCGGAAGCGAAGGAACGAGTAACGAGGCAAAGAACCTCCACCGAAAGAGAAGACGCAGCCGGACCCGACCGCGTTTCGGGGCTTCATAAATTTTCTATCTCACGTCGCGCCTTTATCGCTTACGCGAGTGCAACATTTTTCCCGATGGCGCCGGCCCCTCCCCCGAGCGAGGTTACCCCTTTCGTCCTCCGCTCCTTGCCCGATATTTGTTCCGACACCTTATTTCTTCCTTTCCAATAATGAAACCGTCCCGAGGCGATCCCAAGCCGGCTCCAGGACGGCCGTATTAGCCGGGGGTAACCGAAAAATTTTACCAGGAAATTGTTGATTCCCTTTCTCCCTGTTTTTACCTCCAGAAATTCCACCCCGGGTCCCGGGGCGATATTCTTCCTTTTTTTATTTTCCGTTATCACAACGGTATCACCACGGAGCCTCCTTTGTCTCCGCCAGCCGAAATATCCCCCACGGTGGGGAAGACGAAGAAAGGCTCTTTCCGATTTTCCAACGCTCCCCTCGTGCGTGCGGCACCCCCTAATTGGATCGGTGTCAAATGCATTTACGTCAAATTGGATTCCGAATACTGTCGCGGGTGCGAGCGAGCCTCGATAATCCTTAATCTAATAAAATCAAAATAGTTAATTCTCTCCACCGGTGCCCGGCGAAACGACGGATTGCCTACACCTAAGTGACGTTTACGACGGAGGAGGGCCAATCTGACGGAACCCCCCTCGACTCGATATCGCCCTCGTCACGGAACGTACCGCGATATATTCCCATTCGATCGTAATCGTTAAAGTGCCCTCGAGGACGAAGAATTTTCTACGATTCACAGGCTGGGAACGTTTAGTAAATTCGCACTCTCGCCTCGACCGAGGGATCCTGGAAATCAAAATGGACGATTCTCGAAACGTCCTCGCCGAGGGTAATCGATGGAAAGCGCCTCGATGATAAATCCGCGGATCTCCGAGAGAATACACGTACCGTGTCGACCATAAATCAATCGAACGCGCTTTCGAAGCGACAGTCCGGCTCTCGTGCCGGCGGAATTCGTTCTCGGGCTTCTGCAAATCCTGACGCCGGCTGATCCCTGTAAATATGTATTCGTTGATGACGACTCGACCGTATAATTTCAAAGGAGGAATTAAATGCGCTACTTGGAGGGGTTGTGATTTTCTACCGAGAGATTTCCCATTGTTCATGGTGGTCGGCCAAGTTCGTCACCCTGGCTTCGCTTCGAACGCCTCGAGTGGACGGATTCCCTTTTTGGGGGTAGCTCGAATTTCGGTTTGACGGTCGAGTTTCCCGAGTCGGAAGTGGCGAAAATCCATCGGCCGCGCATCCGCCGGAGATTCGAGCGGTCCATCGAACAGGACGCCGGAGGTGCTCGGTCCAATAGGTGGAGGCGCGCCCTCGTCCCTCGAGTTGCCTCCTACGATCGGTACAGAAGTTCTCGACGTCGTTTTTCCAGGGTCGGTCTAATGGCCCCCGACTCGCGCAAATTCGTTCCCGGGGTGGATTCTCGTCGCGGGTCGCAAAACACTGGCCGGAGAAGTTCCGCTGAAATTGGCCTCCACCCTCGCTTGGACCCTTTCGGGACCTCCAAGGCGATCCTCGCTTCTTGCTCTTTTTGCTCCTCCTCTAACACCCCTCTTCTCCCCTGGACACCTTCAACTTCCGCTCACCATCCAAGAGGAAACTGGCTTGGAAATTTGGAAATTTGTGCGATGTCAAACGTGTGATGTTACGGGTGTTAAATCTGAGAGGCGAGTTTATGGCAAGGGATCTAAATCTCCATGGCCGACGGGATAGCAATTCGGCAAAGACTGGCCTGGAACGCGAATTGCTCCGAAATCGTTCGTCACCTGGAATCATCTAGAGGGCAGAATATTACTTCCACGGTAATGCCAGCGACGGGCAACGGACAATGGTCGAATTTAAAATCGTTTCAAGTGCGCCTTCCACATCTGGACATTTGGAAATTCGGAGCGCGAGGTGGAAGTCATCCTGAAAATCACCGAGGAAGGGTTTAATCCTGGACGGCAGTCAGCTGCGGGGAATTCGCATGCCTGATAATTAAGAGGATTATCTCTCGACTCACTTCGCCGACGTTAAATCTCGCTCTGCTTCCTTCCATCCTTCCACGAGCCGGCGCTTCTCCCCTTCCGGCGAGCCTTTTCTCGCCGCTTCCGAAGAGAGCTTTGAAGCTCCATCTCGCTCGAACGAGCATCGTCGTGGAGGTCCCCCAGGATGGGCTGGAGATGAAGTCGCCACCTGGTCGTCTCGGACATAAACGTCCATTTATCTTTCATCCTCCGTATCCCTCCCTCCTTCGGTCCTCCCGTCCTTTGGAGGGATCCGAACTCTGCTCCGCTCCCGGCCTCGCCCAGCATCCCTCGAGTCAAGAGCCGCATCGATATATCGCTCGATACGCGCGTTCAGCTAGAATCAACTATAGAATCAACTGGAATCGGAAGAGCCTTGCGCGCCGATAAGGGGCAACAAAGGCTGGATGAATCATTGGAGCGAAATCACGAGAGACAATCTCCGAGTGCGGCGCGTTTCCGTGTCGGCCCTCTGCAAGGCTCGGGCAGAGGAGAGACAAGGTGGCCCACTGTAGCGGCTTACAATGCGTATTGTGCAGGCTCGTTCATGGATCCGGGATATGTGCGACAGATAGGTCTCTCGTCAAGAGGGCCCCGAGAGATATCGGCCTCTCGGCGCGAGAGGCACAGAGGGAAAAAAGCGAAACGCCGGGCGCGAAAACGCGGAGCGAAAATAGGTGCTCTCTGCACACGGGAATGACGTGTACATATTACGATCCATTTCCCGGGCACAAAGAGCTCGTATTTATTTCGAGCCTTTAACCTCGATGTGCCGATCGCTCTTCGGATTCGTTTGCAGTCTCATCCCATTTCGATTAGCTGGAACCACATGTGCGGATTCTCCAGCCCTTCCAAGATTCCCTTGGGATGTGGATGAATCGGATTTCTGGACTCCTCGGGGGGTGAGATTCCTCCTCCCTGTTGCTCTTGTCAAAGAGATTGAAATTTAAAGACGGGTATTTCTATTTAGGATATTGGGGTAACCTGTGGGAGAAAGGTTTTGTGAACAACTCATGGGAGGATTGACGCTTACATATTGTGATACATTTTCCGCACACAAAGCGCTAGTATTTGTCTTACTCGATCGCTCTTCGGATTCGTTTGCATTTTCATCCCCTTTGATTAGTTGGAACCACATATGTGGATCTTCCTGCCCTTCCAAAAATCCCTTGGGATATGGATGAGCCAGATTTCTGGGCTCCTCGGGGGTGTGTTCCTCCTTCAGTTGCTTTTGTCAAAAAGATTTAATTTTAAAGACGCGTATTTTTATTTAAAACTGTATATAAGACGCGCGAGAAAGGACATTTCGCGGGCAGCTCGTGGTGCAATTAAGATATACATTTGCGTATTTGTTTCAAGTCTTTAGCTTCGATGTCTCGAGCACTCTCCAGATTCGCTTGCATCTTCATCCTCTTTCGATCAACTGGAACCGCATATGCCGATTCTCCTTTCCCTTCCACTGTTCCCTTGGGATGCGGATGAGCCGGATTTCAGGATTCTCCAGATGCGAGCTTCCCCTTTCCGTTCCTCCTGTCAAATGGATTGAATTTTAAAGACGCATATTGTTATCTAAGATATACATGGGATTTCGTGAGCCGATCGTGCAGGACTAACGTGTACATATTACTATCCATTTTCTAGGTACAAAGAGCTCATATTTATTTCGAGCCTTCGGCTTTACCGACTGGATTGCTCTCCAGTTTCGGCTGAATTTCCATCTCCTTTTGATCAGGTGAAACCGCATGTGTCTGTTCCAATTTCTGGGTTCCCGAGGTGCAAGCTTCCTCTTCTTGTTGCTTCTATCAAAGAGATTGAATGTTAAACACCCATATTTCTGCCGCACGTCCTTTTCTACCGTATAACGTGTGATTTCACGAGCGCGACTAACGCGTAAAATAATCGAGTCGGCGATTCGGCAGAAATGGCTTTCCGTCTGTTCTCCGCGAAAGACCTGCCATAAAAGGCGCGCCACTCTGGAGCGTATTCGGAGCATCCGCACAATGAAACGCGGGGCAAAAGCGAGGAAAAGTTCTCCTTGGACCGACTTTATCAGATATGCAAATTGGAGAAGTTTCGACCTCTTTCAAGCATTAATATCGTGACCTGCGCCCGACTGGCTGGGGGCACATTTGCACCCCCTAAATTCTTTTTCCAGGGTTACGAGTGTCCGTATAGAGATGCGTCATTTCACGTTCTCGTCCACAGATATCCCGAAGTCCTCCGAAGACGAGGCGACCAAGGCCGGCACCAAGGAGGACCAGAAGAAATCCGACGACGCAGAGCGGAGAGACGGAGAGGAGTCTTCGGCCGAGGATAAGGACCAGAAGGACAAGGACAAGGACGAGGCTGCCACTAGAATACAGGCGGCATTTCGCGGCCACCACGCTCGAAAGAGCATCAAGGAGACCGAGAACTCGATAAACCAGTCCGGGACCAAATCCGACACCGAGCCGACCAAGGAGCAGCTCCAGGAGGAGTTCCGCGCCGACGACAAGGGTAAGGATCGTCACCGAATCTACTCATTTTAAAGCCTAATTGCCCAAAGGACGCGGAGTTGCCGATTTCCTTGAGCCTTCGGAAATTCTCCGCAAACGGAACGGCAAACCTCCGGGACTCGAAAAGGGAAGGCAAACACGACTCGTCGAAATTACGGACGAAGCTCTGCGCAAAGCTAACGGCACGAACGACTTGTTTTAACGTTTTTGCCGGCGAGTCGGACCCCTTCTCTTGGGTACACACCTCTCGTCGACCTTCTCGTCGAATTAGGTCTCCTGGAGCGAGATCTCCCCTCCCGACCACGGGTCCCGATTCGACCTCCCAAATTGCCGCGCATCGCTCGTGTCCACTTTCCATATAGAGCCTTTTCACGGCCTTTTCACGGCTTTTTTACAGCCTTTTCACGGCCCTTTCACGGCGCCAACGATGAGGGCCTCCGATTTCCACGGGGGCTTGACACGCTTGCAGTTAGAGCGAAAGCACGAGTCGTGAGTTCTCCTCATTTGGGCATCGCTCATCCCATTTAGAGAGGGAAACCACCTCTGGAGAAGCGCCCCGTGAAAGGTGACGGTGCTGCCCGAATCGAGTGCTTCTAATTTTCCCAGATCTTTTTTCCAGAGGTTCTTTGAATACCCAAGGAAGGAGCGAGGGGCACGCGAAACTCCGTTCACGGTGGGAAAATTGCCGGTTTCGTTTTTTCGGTATTATGCCGCATTCTTTATCTACATGGAAGGCTTCTTCCTAGGCGAGGTGGAGGCGCATTGACCGGCGATATCCATGGGGTGATACATTAAATCCGAATCCCTCGGGGAAACTCGCGGCGAAGCGTTGCAGGGCCGGCCACATATCGAGGAGCACTTTCTCGAGCGATTTCCCTCGCGGAGGAGCGCAATTTATTATCGCCGCCTCGTTGGTCCATTTCCGGGGGAGGTTTTTACCTCCGCCGAGGGCGAGCCCGGTCGAGAATAAATCCGAGCTGTCCGCGAAATTGTGATAAAAGGGCCGCTCTCCGATGTTCCACGCCAGCCCTTTCATGCGGTCAATGAAGGGCGGAAAGGAGAGCAAAAACACTTCGCCGTACACGCACCCTTTATGGACCGGACGGTTCGAATCGAGGCTATTAAGGTGGGACGAAAGTGGCGCCTGAAGGGTCTCGTTTATGAAACTTTTTTCCAACCTAGGGATATCGAATCGTTCGAAATTTCGCCTCGTGGATGTGGAGGTGATAAAGAAGGTCCCAACACCCGTGAAACTTCATTTTCCATGGATTGATTCCTCAGATGTCGCTTTCATATCGCCTTAAGTCCTGAATCCGAATCAGCCCCTCGACCTCCCGCTTCCCTTTAAATGAAACCGCATCGACAGCGCCTACATATACGTGGAGCTTGTTAGAACCCATTAAAAGCTCACGGCTCACCTGTGGAGAACTGTAAGGTCTACCGATATCCCCAATTCGGTCGGGATATGATGGAAAACGGGAAAAAAGAGGTACAACGGATACCTCGGATCACGATAACCGTAGGCATAACAATTAAAATCGACCCCTTAAATTACAGAAAAATTAATACAATCCGTTACGACCAATTTACCAGAGAAGTTTCATAAACGATCGATCACTCGGATGCGACTTTCGTACCTGCTGTCTCTTTCTCTCGCAACTCTGGCAAGGTCTCGCGGGGGTCCGCGTTGAAGTTTCCGAAGGTCCTTCCCGACCCGGAGGGACCTTCTCCAAGGAGAAAACGGCGAAACGAGGTCCTGGACGGGATGGTCGGGTTGGTCGGGAAAAAGAGAAAAAGAGAAGCCGCTCGAGCGTATTTCGCGATTAGCGATCGCGCTAACGGGCTCGTCCACCGTGTGGCGAGCCGAGGGGGCAAAAACCAATAATCCGTATGCAGGTATATACATATACGTACATATATACAAACGCCGCGTTTCGGCTCACGTTGACACAGCCGGAGAGGGACCAATCGTTCAGGACGTAAAACGGCCACTCGAGGGCGATCGATAATTAATTATTGATTCCAAGTGGCTCGCGGGATCGATCCCTTCTTCTTCTCGGTTCCACGGGGGTCGGAGTAGCCGAACCTCGGTGGGAATTTATGCGCACGCCAGATACGACGACCGGCTTTTTACTCGGGTTCGACCTCCACCTCGACCTCTCGAGGTGCCCTCTTCTCCCCTTTCTTTTTGTCGAACCGTGTTCATACGCCGTTAGGATATAAGTCTTGCGGTTTTTCGCGATGGGATTTCTGGGTCCCCGGTCCAATTACTCATGGTCGTTATCAGCGTCAACCTTAGAGGTCGTCTGGACCTCCTGACCTGGCGTGAGGCTAAGTGAGCTCCTTGAGGTCGGCCGCTCACGCATGGCGCTCTGCACCGACTCGCGTTGCACTTCTTGGGCGCCGCGATTTCCCGTAATGCAGTTACAAAGCGGCGCCCCTTTCGTCGCGTGACTCGCCGGGTAACGATAATTCAACGAGCTCGAGTCGTGACCCGCAATCCCGAGACCGCATTAGCAAATACCTTCGCCGAGGACTCGACAAAACGCGGGTGCCGATGATCACGAGACCCCTGAGGGGTAGATAACGAACGACGACGCGTGTCCCCTTGTCTGCGGCACTTCCCCCATTATCTTGACACCCCTGCGCTCCCTCTCGCATCCCGAATCTCTTTGACGACCGTGTTCTCCCGTGTCCCCAGAGCTCTGCGACGCGGCGACGAAGATCCAGGCCTCTTTCCGTGGACACATGTCGAGGAAGGAGCAGCAAGCCGCGGCGGCTATCGACGAGGCCGCGGGCCAACTCGCCGATAAGGCGACCGCCAAGATGCAGGAGAAGGTGAGTGCCGCGACGAAGGGAAACTCTGCAAGGACGTACCCTGGAAAAAAAAATAATGGAAATTTACATACATCTTTACACACTATGTAACTGAAGTTTGACATAAAAAAACAAACGTATAACAGAAAAATTAAAAATTAAAAAATGTATAAATGCACGTGGCCTTGTAGATTTACTGCATTAGTGCGTTTTTACTTGAATTAAATTTAACATTACATTGTAATTTTTCTCGTGGCATGTAAGACCTTTACTGGGTATGTAAATCTACAGGTTACCTAGTCAATTTATACACTTTACTTGTAAAATTAAACTTTGTATGTAATATTACACTTTATGTTTACGTATCAAATGTACTCCTACAATACGTTCTTTTTGGAAATTTAGATGCTAAATGTGATATTGCACAGGCAATGTAATTTTACTGTTATTAATTGTGGCATCAAAATAATCAATGATTGAGTGTGTAAATTTACATGGGAGTTTCTTTTTTCAGGGTACTCTGAAAAGAAATAGCGATAAACGTGAAAATTAGCGGGAGCGAGCGGGTATATAGGTCCCGGTCTCGGGAGAAATGTCGATATACAGCTAAGGAAACCATAAATTTATTCTTTACCCGGAGGAAAAATAGTATCGAATGTTATCACTACTAGGTGGGAAATAGGCGCCAGCCCCCAAAGGGAGATACATCTGCAGAATACCGCAGGAAGATACAACTATAAATCGCATAACGTTACAAATTGGAAAATTATTTTTTACTTTTCTGTAGTCGAATTTTGTGTTCTTTTAGGGATTGTTTAGCGGTTATTTCACGTTTAACTTTTTCTTGGTGTATTCAGAGGTACGAGTACCCTGGTGGACGTGAATGCCTTTTCTGTACATTTGGCACCGTTAGTGGGGGACGAGAAGGTATTCATAACCATCGGTGTAAGTCGACGAACGTTTTCTAAGGTCGAAAAGACATTTCTAAAGTTTTCATTGGTTTCTCGAAGTTTCTGAAATTCCGCGGAATAGGTGGTGAACACATCGGCGAGGATGTTGATTCAATCGGTCCACATGGCGGTGATAATTTCCTCGAGGAGCTTGACCCAAGTCGGCGTCTTCCGAGAGCTTTCCTCGGAGCTGCTGTAAGGACGAGGGGAAAGAGAGAGAGAGGCGCGCCAGTAAAGTCTTCGGCAGAGGAGGGGAAGAGGCTCCTTAATAAGGATTTATGTCCCGGCCTTACGAAATGCAATTACCTAGCTTTTATTTGTCCCCTCGCCGAGCGCCGCCAAGCTTTGTTAGGCGGTTTGATTAACAACGCCGCTGCAGTTCCGCGGGAAGGAGAACTTCACCGAGTAGCTTTACTTGTTCCTCGATGACCTTCCACCCGTAATGCACCCTGGCCTCCTCCAGGAGAACCCGAAATTGGGATGTTGCGTTAGCGATCCTTCGAATTTACGGGGCGACGAGTCGCCGATGCGCCCCGAATATGTCGGGCGAGACCTGATGGGAAATCGATGTAGCGGGGAAGATTTTATGGAACGCGGAATTGCGGGGCGAAGGATACGGACGCGGTTGTCAATTATCCTCTCGAGGCGCGTCGCAGACGTTCGCGCCGAAGCTGAATTAAGCCGGGAAATGGTCGACATCCAGAAGACGGCTCGACCGAACCCAAGGAAGGTCGCGAACCCTCTCGACGTCGACTCCGCTACCCTGTTATAAAAAGAAAAGAGAATATTAGCACATAATTTAAAACCATTCGGTTGGAAATTGTCATTCGGACGCGGTATATTAATTCTGCGACGCTCAATTCATATATTTTATAAACATATATTAATTTTCCCCCGCGATTTCATAAAATTAGTAAGGGAAATTTATAAAAGGGGTGTAATTAACATTCAAGGTGTTGAGTTTACAATTTCGCAACAACCTTGTGTCGTACTAGTATTTGAAATTGATGAGCGTCTTTAAATGGGTGCCAATGCTTAATTCATATATTTTATAAACATATATTAATTTACCCCTGCGATTTCATAAAATTGCAACGTGAAATTCATAAAAAGGGGGTAATTCACATTCAAGGCGTCGAGTTTACGATTTCGCAGCAACCTTGTGACGTACTAGTATTTGAAATTGATGAGCGTTTTTGATGGGGTGCCGCAACGAGGCGCCGAGGATCCTGGCGGGATGAAAGGGATGAAACTAACTTCTCGTCGATTCGCTTCCCCCGGTTTTTGTCCGGCGCGATTTAGGGAACTTAAGGGGTTGGCAGCGCTAAGTTGGCACGACGAGTCGCGATATTCGTGCCAGTATTCGGCTGCCTTCCGGGCGTTACTCTTGCCGAGACATCCGGGTCAAGGAGAGATCGGCAGGGGCGGATAAAGCAGATAAACGCGAGATGCGAGGGGACGAGGAGGGAGATGTCGATGGATCGGGGGACTCGAAGAAGCCGATCGAGAAGATGGCACTTCTGACCTCGGGATCATCTCGAAAACGAATGCAACGGGCCTGGCTAATAATTTATCGAGCTCTCCTTCAACCACTTCCATGTTTCGGAGGTTCCATGTCGAATCGAGTCCGCTACCATTCCTCCCCAGCTCGAGTCTTGGACCCACCTCTCGGACTTAAACCGCTTGGTAACGTCAAAGCCGATAATCGATAGCGCGCGTTCGAGCTCTCATCCCACCATGGAAATCGCCGTTTCGATGTACCGCCTCCTCTCAATCGTATCCACGTCGACCCACTCGTCATGCGAGATACAAGACGGGGATCAATCGTATACGAGAGGCTTTGGATTGACGTTTCAAGGAGAGCCGCCCCGGAGTTCGGCCCCGATTTTCGCAGACCAGGAGCCGGAGTTCCAGACTCGACTCTTTATGTCCGGCACAATTTATTCCCAGGGGCGAAACGATACCCTGGAAACGCTCCCGCCGTTATCGGCCGACGTGATTTTTCAGGGGTAAACTATGGCCCAGTGAGTGTGTACCTAGGTACCACCTAAACGACCTAAACGGTCCCGGCGACCTCGGTCCAGGGCGCCGGGAGTGCTCGCATACGGAAGGAGAAACTAAATAAAAGGGGCCGGAAGGAAAGAAGAACAACGCCGGAGAGTTGTTTTTCCCCTCGAGGACGAGAATTGTTTTGGCAAACGCGTCCTTCCCCTCTTTTTCCTCCTGTTTTCCTTCCCGCCCCCAGGACGCGCTTCCTCCCTTTCCGATTCCTCGCGACACGACTCCCGGTCCCTGAGAAGAGGATCAATCTCTCAGCGGGAAGCGGGACCACGCCGAAATCTGCAGGCGCCTCTAGTCGACTCGAAGAGGAGGACGTAGAGCACCCGAAGAGAGCCGGAAACGCGAGGAGCCAAGGTGGGCTTCAAAGAAACGAACGCCTCGAATGGATTCAATTTGACTTCTTGCTTCGACGCTGAAATCTGGGAACGACGTCGAGGTCGCGATTCCTGCAGGCCATCCATCCTCGCTCTGACCTCGAGAACTCTCAGCTAGGAGAACCGCCACTCTCCTGGCTCCCGTGTGGCCTGCAGGCTTCCGGCTCGGATCGATTCTGGCCCTTCCGCCTCGCCATGGCCGTCGACACCCTGAAGGCGAATCCGATTCCTGCTAATCCTGGTCCGAGTTTCGCCAGGGAGGAGGTCCTCGAGGGCGCCGGAAAGAGGGCAGAGAACGCGAGAAGTGGCGCGTGGAAAACCCTACTATTGAGTTTTCCAGCCGAGCCTTGACCTTAAGAGGGAGACCTGGTCACGAGCTGCTGGCTCCGCAAGCTCGTCGGCACTATCGGAGGACCTTGATCGCAGCCTGTCAAGGAAGAAACCCGCTCCTAACATTAGACGTGCCCGCGATGGATCTCGAAGGAACGATCATCGCCTCATTGATCCGCCAGGAAGAACGAGGCGTCCTCTCCAAGGCTGTTCCTCGACTAGTCCTAGACTTGGACTATCCTGGATGGAAACTGCTCCTTTGAAGTCCCCTGAAAATACCGGCTGAATTAGAAATGGCGCGGAAAATACCGCGTGACCCGACGTGGAAATTGGAGGCAGGGCACTCTTCAGGGTGGGAAGAAGCCGCGGAGTGGGCCGGCTCTCCGGTCTTTAGAAACCGAATTAAACCTCTCCCGAGCCGTACAAGTGAAATATTCACCGCGGTTCAAGTACCACTGGGAAGAGGCGAGGGGGGATTAGAGGGGTTTAATTCTCGAGGTCTAATGAGACCTGTGGGCCGAGGAAAGAATCCGCTGGGAGAGCCTCCTCGTCCAGGAGATATTCATCTTCGCCGGGAGCGCTGCCGAAGACCGAGTTTCAGGGCAAAGGAAAGACGGGGCGAATCTCGAGGGGGGAATCCCGGAAGGGCCGCGGAAGAAATTGATCGGAAGCGTTAATGGCACTCGAGGGAGTCCGATCCATCCTGCCAGCCATCGCGCGATCCATCCAGCCTGGATGGGATCTTCGTCGGTCTTCTTCAACGTCTTCTCTTCGGAGTGGGGCTCCGGTTACTCGAGGCTTCCGCAGCCGACGAATCGCTCATCGAAGGACGCCGAAGAAGCGGCAATCGTCGAGTTCTTCGAGGGCCTCTTCGACTTCCCTTTTCCCGGTCGGAGTGATCGTCGATTCGAGCGGAACCGGAACCGGAACGACTGGCCGATTATCGGGGATTCGCTCGGTTGGTCCTTCTTGGACGAAGCCGAGATAGATCCGGTGCGGTTTTCGCCGATTCGACGATCCGCTTATCGACCGAAAACGTCGATTCGGCTGCCGCGAGGACTTTATCTCCAGCGTGGGAAGAGTGGACACGCCGAAGAAGGTCGAACGGAAGGGGAACGACGGAGGAAGAGGGTGACACGAAGGAGGATGGATACCTTGCAGGGGGTCTTTTCAGTCGGGGTGTCTTCGCCTTCCTCGGGTTCCTCTTCCGCGGCGGGAGTGCCCCTCGGCTTCCGGGAGTGGCTGAGACCCGACAAAGCCGGAGGTGTCGGAGGGGCTGGAGGAAAAGGAGGGGTCGAGGAAAAGG